TGTTCCTTTTCATTTATTTGACAGAAAAAAATTTAGCTTGTGAGAAGCTATAAATTCAGACGCTTTGTCAGGAACTTTTGCAAGGTAGAGAAAGCTCGTAATTGTGCGACAGAGCAGTTCAATAAACCGCATGCTTTTCAGCTAGTACAAATTATCTTCTGCTTTTATGTAAAAGTTGAGTGGTTTCTTAAATTATAACTAATGAGCATCAGCGAGTACGTTACGTGTTTATACTTCAGTGCGTGGATGTCGACCAGGGAAAACTGTTCAGATGTCGGAAAATGAGATAAGAGCACTCTGTCACAAAAGCAGGGAAATTTTTTTATCACAGCCCATTCTCCTGGAACTCGAAGCGCCTCTCAAAATTTGTGGTTTGTTTTTTTGTTTAATATAATCAGCCAGTTTTGTCTAGTTCGGCTGAAAAATGATTTTATAATTGCAAATTTCATTTCACATTTTAGCATACTTTTGCTGTATCAAATTTATTCTTTTAATATCCAAAACGACAGAAAAGTCGATGCCCAATCACCTAAAAATCTAAATCATAAGGGTAATGAAAATGTATTCTTTAGAACTAGCTGGATTTTTGAATGGCTTTTGAAATCTGCTTCCTCCAACCGGAGGTTCAATTATACATATTTTATAGGAGATATTCATGGGCAGTACAATGATTTATTACGGCTGTTTGAATATGGTGGATTCCCGCCGGAAGCAAACTATCTCTTTCTTGGAGACTACGTTGATCGGGGGAAGCAAAGCTTAGAGGTTTTGTTGTGACTGAAATTTCAGTGCTGTTTTTTTTTATTAATTTAGGGTTTTATAATTGTTTTTAAATATCACTGTTGCATTCTTTATCAGAGTAATATTTTCTTGTAGATCTATAAATTGGATGCCTTTGATGCATTAATTTACTACTTGTTCGCAGGTCGTTATGACCTGTGAAATATATGATGTTATTTTCTGAATCCGGATAATCATCTTCACTGCTATCACAAAAATTCCACTGCTGTATGTTTTAACCATAATGTTTACAGACAATATGCTTACTGCTGGCTTATAAGGTGAAATATCCCGAAAATTTCTTCTTGTTACGAGGAAATCATGAATGCGCTAGTATTAATCGTATTTATGGATTTTATGATGAATGTGAGATTTGTTAATTTTATGATTCGAGTACTTGGTAATGTAAGGCAGAATTTGAATGTGTTATATGTTTCAACTAATGTAAGAATTATAGGCAAACGCCGATTCTCGATAAAACTGTGGAAAACATTCACTGATTGTTTCAATTGCCTGCCAATAGCTGCCCTAATAGATGAAAAGATTTTCTGTTGTCATGGAGGACTTTCTCCTGATCTACAAAATATGGAACAAATCCGGAGAATAATGCGACCAACGGATGTTCCCGACACTGGTGCTGCTCTTTCTTCCTTTTTTCTTTCGGTTTTGTTCGTAATTATCATTTTTGTTTCATTTTTGCTTATGCCGATTTACTTTTTGGTTTTTAAGAACTCAAAAACAAATTTATTAAATTTTAGATTTTTGATTAGTTATTAAAATACAACAGAAAGTTTTTGCTTCAGGTCTTCTCTGTGATCTTTTATGGTCTGACCCAGATAAAGATGTACAAGGCTGGGGAGAAAATGACCGAGGAGTGTCCTTTACATTTGGGCCTGATGTTGTAGCAAAATTCTTAAATCGTCATGATTTAGACTTAATATGTCGGGCACATCAGGTAATTAAAATCATTTTATTATCATTTCACTTTCAATTTAACACAAAATAAAGATCATAATTTTTATAACTGCTTATTTTATTTGTGTGTAGGAAACACAGCGATTGCTGTCCTCAAGTCACTGTTCCCTTCTTACCTAGTATTGAGGAATATACTTTTGTAAAATAAAGTTGTGGGATATCAAAAATATACTTTCCAAATGCCATATCTTCTTGCCATCAACAAAATTTGTATTCTGATACTGTTCTTTAAATCTTCATATCGAAAAATTCAAGTTTAGTGATAAGTTGATATGAAAATAAATGGTGATAGACTTTTGAATATATTTTTTGGATACATTTTTTCAACTTTTGTTCATTCTTCTTACTCCATTAAAAACTATTTTCAATAATTTGTTTTTGAGATCAAAGTATAATTCTTTAAAATTCATTAAGAAGTTCTATCTTTAGGTAGTAGAAGATGGTTACGAATTTTTTGCCAAACGTCAACTTGTAACATTATTTTCGGCCCCAAACTATTGTGGTGAATTCGATAATGCAGGTGGTATGATGAGCGTTGATGAAACATTGATGTGTTCCTTCCAAGTTTGTTTTTTAAAGCATTAAAATTGAAGTCAGATTTTTTGTCTTTCCCTCTTGTCAACTTTTTACACCCGGACATATTCTTGAAGCTATTACGACAACGTTAAGAGACTGTCGTCATAGAGCAACGATCACAATATAAAGCAACAGTTGTAGTGCGTATAAATTTCACATGCAGTCTTCAAGAAATGCCAAAATTGCCTATTCCAAACGCACAGTTGTCATCACAATAGCTTTGGGATATATCGTGGCAAAGAAATTGAACTGATTAATGTACTCAAAGAAATAGGCTACCAGAGAAACGTTAATGTCTAACGATCGCAGTTATTTTTTTTGAAGTTATCTGCTTAATATTAATATTTATTTACGAAAGAAACACATTATTTATCCATTGTATGCAGATAATTTTTCTTTTGAATACTTGGTCTAAGATGTATCATCCGCAGTGCCTTTTTGAAATTCGTGTAATTTTTCTAACAGCTTTGCTGCCTTACTTTTTTCTTTATCAAACACCTCGTACTCCGCAGATCGGATAACTTTTCCGAATTTCTTTTTCTTATTTGCTTATAACTTTAATTCTTCTGACTTTCAGATTCTGAAGCCATCTGAGAAAAAGGCAAAATATCAGTACGCTGGACTGAATAGCGGTCGTCCGATCACATCACCGCCGCGAACAGGTAGTGCAGCAACTGTTGGAATTCAAAAAAAGAAGTAAGTCGAAACGTGGCAGTATCAGCAGATGTCTTTATCTCCCGTCCTTTTTTTTGCGATTTCACTCTTTCCCGCAATTTATTTTTGCCGCCTTCATAACTTTGGTTTCCATGAAAAGGCACACCGAGTATTTTTTCCAGACAAAATTTCTTGGTGTATTTCTAGAGAAATTTCATTATTTTATAACCTATGCAAATTATTTACCTGTTGAATAATTTGAGATTCGTATTCTAGCTGCTTGATGTCTTCCTTAAGTTGTAGTAAATCAAAAATTGCGAAATTAGAGAAAAGACTAAACAAATCTTTTTCGATTATGTGAAAAATGAAATTAAAACTTCAGAATCTTTGGTATATAAACGGTAGACCAGTGATGTCATAAGAATAGATATGATTTTCAGTTTCGTTTTCTTTGTCAGCTACTCATTTGTACCTCTTATGTTGTAGTGCTTGATTTCTTACACCATGTCAGCATATCATTCGGTAAAGCTAATGTAGAAAGTGCAATAGGTGAAGGAGTTTTGAATCATAGGCGTTTTTACCTTTGTGGCAGGCAAAACCTGATGAATTTTGGAAAAGTTTTCGCAAAAGATTTCGGAAAAGTGATTTGTCATAGGGTAATAACTTTGGCTAACAGTTTTCACGGAGGATGTTGTTTCATGTAATGTTATGTTTTAAAACTGAAAATAAGCAGTAGATCACATTTTCGTCTTCTATAGCTTATATTTGGAAAAAGATTCATTTGCATCGCTTTATACTACTACTTCATTGTTTGGCACTTTTATTTACTTTTGTGTCTGTGAAACCGTTTCATACTTTTCGGTGGAACATCACCTAGACTGAATTGATGTGCTTTATTTTAGCCAGGAGGGGAATAAAGTCTATTTTATATGATTTATTTTATATTCCTTTGGAGACTTGAGTTTAAGAATTACTTTAAAAGTTTTTGTTGACCTAAAGAAGGTTGCAGACCATCAAAAATCCGTCGTTTTTCCGTATTCAAAATTCGTTCTAATTTCCATAAGCAATTTCATAGACTTACATGCCTAAATTTATACTTGTTTTATTGAGAGTTTAGGAAGAGATACTGGTGACTGGCGAAGTACCAGCTCTGTTTTACTTTGGAGTTTCCTAGCATGATGGTTTTGTATCGCTTGCAAAGCAATTCGCAAGATTTTTATATTTTAACATCAAATGAACGAGGGATCGACAAATATTAATTATTTATGGCATGCATATATATAATAAGTATTGTAAGTGATGTGACATTAAGTGAAAGTGAGGCACTTGTGATAACTCTTAATGTTATCCTTAAAATTGTATTTTAATATATATATATAAGATTAAAAAAGATTACATAATAAGATTGAAAAACACATAAATATTACCGTATACTACATGGTAAGACTCGGAACAATGAACTATAATTTCTATTCTAGAAATACCAAGAAGTCACCTAAATCACTTTTTTTTTGTAAATGATGGCTAAAGAGGACTTTCAACAAGTGTTTCCGAGGATCTCTTCCTCACTCCAGATTAAAGGAAATCAAGCCCTTGGCCCGTTAGACAATTTAAGCAACAAAGTCCAAAACAGGGCAGACTTGATCCGTTGATTCTTGAGGCTTAGATTATGCAAATTTCAAACATTTAGCGATTGAAACATTCCAAAACATATATTCGTTGCTGCAGCTGAATCAAATTCATTCTGTGATATTTGTCAGTTGTTCCGGTAATAGACTGAAAAATTAAATTATTAAAAAACTTAATAGTTTCAAAAGAAAAAAGTCAACAAATCAGAAGTTGGATGCATGTAAATTTTATTTTCTGAACTTCCGAAAAAGAATTGGGGCTTTAATCGGAATATTCGTTTTCCGCCACTCACTGGTTTCTGTTTGACTTTATGAAACGAATGCATGACAACAGAAGTAAACTAATAATCTATCTAGGAAAAAATTCAAATATTTAAGATAAACCTACTAAAGTATAACTGTTGGAATTAACATTACAACAGCAAGGATGTAAAATGACAACTGAGGTAGGAAATCAAGCGATAGCGGGAAAAGTGTATGAAATGTTACAGCAGCCAACAAGTTGCTCAGTGCTTCTACCACCGCAAACAACGTAAACATTGAGCCTAAATTTGAAATTGAATGACTTGTAAGCTTACAAATTTAAAATTTCATGATTGCAGTGCTAAATATCCAGTCTTTATTTGTATACATTCTTGGTAATCAATATGTGGAATGACATTTTACAAAATGATATCATTTGCAAAATAATGATCGAAATTGCTTATAAAAATTCAAGCAGATTTGATTTCTTCCAGTTTTTAGTTATTTTGGCATTTCAGAATTTCGTCCAAGCAAGAGATGCCTACATAAAGTCTTCACTACTAATGAAAATGTAAAAAATATCATCGATATTGAACAGAGAGCACATACCATGATTTTTAGTCGGTACGATGTTAGCTGAGACTGCTCTCATACCAGAAGCAGCAAAACGTGTAAATGAATCGAAAAGCATCACTAAATGCGAATTAATTTTTTTCAGGTTTTAATTTTAAATTTCAATTTGGTTTGTACCAAAATAAAATATTTTGGTACTAATAATTATCGTATAAATCTCTAATGGTAAATCAATGCAAGAAAATAATTGGCTTAATAGCCAAGTCCTTACTATAAAATCTAGTCTAATTGGAAGTCGTAATATAATAGAATCTTATTCTTTAAAAATTTCTCATTCTAATAATTAACCTGCATATACGGTAGCGTAAATTTATATAGTAGATATTAGAATAAAAGGGGAAGAAAAAATATTATCTAACATAAAAACGTAGATGATGTACTCCATGCAACAGCAAGCCACAATCTACCCAATGCTCTTGAAATTAATCCAATAAGAGCAAGCGTTCGATCTGTGAAATTATGTGTTCGTAATAATGGATAAACAAACAGCACCTATAAAGTCAACTGCTTACACTATGTGAAAAGTAACAATGTAAGACTGAAGCAATGACTAGGAATTGATAAAATTAACGTTCAATTTAATAAATGAAAAACTTTCTATCCATAAATTATTACATTAAAGTAATCTACACTTGGAAAAAAACTAAGATTAATTACATTTAACATTGCGAATCCTTGCGTGGGACCTTTAAGGAATCCATACAATGTGGCATCCCAGCCAAATCGAAATTTCAGATAATAGAATGAAATATGAGTTGAGCCTAAAAGCATAAAAGATTATTTAATACAATTAGATCTCAAAAATTTTTCTCAAAGTTTTGGTTATTTCTCGTTTTATTCTCCATTATGGACCACGTATAAAACTGGATGCAACAATCAAGAAATAATCATCCATTTTAACATGGTCAATTCTACGAGCAAAACTATAAATGAAAAAAGCGAAAAACGGACTTTTCTCGAGACATGAAACTGAATGTCTAGTGAAATGCATTGGTTAACAGTCGTAAATGTATGAACAAATAACCTTATCATCAAGAGATTTTGATTACTACTAACCTACGAATGTGAAAAAAGAAATAGCGAATGCTACGATCAGAGCCATGAAGGTGCCGATTATTTTCCGCTGCCACAAAAATTTCTGCAATATATTCAAAAGATGATTACGGTCTCTATCTTTTCTAATCTTTTTGTTCATAAGTCCCAGATGAAAAAAAAAAGAGTGCTTAACAGAATTTTGCCTTCAACTGCATAGACTAACAAATTTTATTGTTTAATTTGCCTGTTGTATCAATAATTACTCACTCAAAATCTATTTTGATTTCGTAACTATATTTTTATCGGAGTGGAAGTTTCCCGCTTTGGCCTTCTTTAAATGAACTCATTAATTCAATTAATTTTCATTATTTATACATATCTAATCTCTTTCATAGTATACATAGAGCAGTAATGAAAATTGCTATTTTTGATACATATATTTCAAAAGAATAGAGCAATTTTAGAAAAATAAAAATCACTTACGAATAAATCGAATCCAAACATATCTTTTTTGTATACTGTTTCTGTATTATTGTTATTTATGGATGGAAAAAAAATTACTGCCACGAAACAAATGATATATATTACCAGAAATGCTGTGAATAAACCAACGAATCCCAAAAGTTTGAGCAAAAATGAGCATAAGTAACCAACTGTGCCTATAAGAATTTTAGATTAGAATTAAAACTAAAGTTTCGAAAAAGTCGAATTTCTTACCTCCAAATCCAATAACACCCTCTAAAACTGCAATAATTAATGACCGACACTTTGGTGGATAATTGCATACAGAATCAGTAGCATAAGCAAAAAATGCCGAAAAAATAGACATATAGCCACCAAAAACTGCGAAAAGCGCTTCACTTCCAACTAACCAATATACTGAAAGCTGAAATAAACTCGCCAAATTGAACTACTAGAAAAATTTGACAGCTGAAATTAATTAACATTTGTTGACTTAAAAATTATTGAAGTGTATATTAAAAAGATTGAACTACCAGAAAAATGAAATATCATAAATTGCTTTAAATATTGAAGATTTTTTCAATCGTTCACCTCTATATAATACGATTGCACCACCAATGAGATACCTTCAAGAACAAGTCCACTGAATGGTATTAGCAACGCTGCTTTTCGAGATTTCGTATCACCAAATCGTCCAATCATTGCAGATGTAAAAATCCCAATCGAACAAATCGCAACACTACTGGAAAAAAAAACTTTTTTTTTTTTAAAATTACCGCAAACTCTTCGATTCATAAAACATTCTTGTTAAAATATTTACTAGTTTATATTCTTGAAAGCATTTACATATTGAAGAAATCTATAAATATTTTAATTTGTTATACATGCAATAACTTAACTTTATTGTCCTCAATATCAGTTGTTTAATAAAATAAAACAATCAACTGAACATATTCCAATTATAAAAAATAAACAAGCAAACCTCCATAAAAGTATCCAATTCGCTATTGCTTGCAAATCCTTATTAGATGAAATCTGAGGATGTGAACAGCTCACATTAATGCCTATTCGATCACCATATTGCAAACATGCCTTAAAATAACGTAACGAAAATAAATAGCGGAAAGAAAAGATGTGCGACTTTATTTCCATAAGTCTACTGCTGACAGATTAATTAATATAATTAAAAAAAATAATTTTACTGTTTTTTTAAGGATGCACGAACATGAGAGAGAGAGAAAGAGAGAGAGAGAGAGGGGGAGAGAGGGAAAGCCGATAAATAAAATACAGCACGGCCGAGATGATAAATTACAAGATTGTGTTCAAAGTTAATTAATTACAATGAATCACCCCTTTCTTTATCTTTATTTTTATTATCTGAATTCAACAAGAAATTATTATACAATCTTGGATAATTCCGACAATTGGAATATACGATGATGCATCAGTGCTATTAAGAAATGACCTTCTAGAATTGATAATTATCTTTCATCATAATATGTATGACCTTTTAGAATTGCAATTTCGAAGATGGATTGATAGTTCATGTTTTTTTTTTTTTTGCAAAGGTTTTGGAACCTTTGGAAATAGTTCATTTGATATCATTTTGGCACTATTAAGATTAATATACCGTTATGGCTGTATTCCAT